GGAATAGGTGGTAAGTTATTAAATGCTGTAAAGAGTTTTTATGAGGATAGTGAGGCTCAGGTTAGGGTGTGTAGAAGAGAGGGAGACTACTTCCCGGTAAAAGTAGGTCTTAGACAGGGATGTGTAATGTCACCATGGTTGTTTAATATATTTATGGATGGGGTTGTAAAGGAAGTAAATGCTAGGGTGTTCGGGAGAGGGGTGGGATTAAATTTTGGCGAATCAAATTCAAAATGGGAATTGACACAGTTACTTTTTGCTGATGATACTGTGCTTATGGGAGGTTCTAAAGAAAAGTTGCAAAGGTTAGTGGATGAGTTTGGGAATGTGTGTAAAGGTAGAAAGTTGAAAGTGAACATAGAAAAGAGTAAGGTGATGAGGGTGTCAAATGATTTAGATAAAGAAAAATTGGATATCAAATTCTGGAGGAGGAGTATGGAAGAAGTGAATGTTTTCAGGTACTTGGGAGTTGACGTGTCGGCGGATGGATTTATGAAGGATGAGGTTAATCATAGAATTGATGAGGGAAAAAAGGTGAGTGGTGCGTTGGGGGTATATGTGGAGTCAAAAAACGTTATCTATGGAGGCAAAGAAGGGAATGTATGAAAGTATAGTAGTACCAACACTCTTATATGGGTGTGAAGCTTGGGTGGTAAATGCAGCAGCGAGGAGACGGTTGGAGGCAGTGGAGATGTCCTGTTTAAGGGCAATGTGTGGTGTAAATATTATGCAGAAAATTCAGAGTGTGGAAATTAGGAAAAGGTGTGGAGTTAATAAAAGTATTAGTCAGAGGGCAGAAGAGGGGTTGTTGAGGTGGTTTGGTCATTTAGAGAGAATGGATCAAAGTAGAATGACATGGAAAGCATATAAATCTATAGGGGAAGGAAGGCGGGGTAGGGGTCGTCCTCGAAAGGGTTGGAGAGAGGGGGGGTAAAGGAGGTTTTGTGGCAAGGGGCTTGGACTTTCCAGCAAGCGTGCGTGAGCGTGTTAGATAGGAGTGAATGGAGACGAATGGCACTTGGGACCTGACGATCTGTTGGAGTGTGAGCAGGGTAATATTTAGTGAAGGGATTCAGGGAAACCGGTTATTTTCATATAGTCGGACTTGAGTCCTGGAAATGGGAAGTACAGTGCCTGCACTTTGAAGGAGGGGTTTGGGATATTGGCAGTTTGGAGGGATATGTTGTGTATCTTTATATGTGTATGCTTCTAGACTGTTGTATTCTGAGCACCTCTGCAAAAACAGCGATAATGTGCGAGTGTGGTGAAAGTGTTGAATGATGATGAAAGTATTTTCTTTTTGGGGATTTTCTTTCTTTTTTGGGTCACCCTGCCTCGGTGGGAGACGGCCGACTTGTTGAAAAAAACAAAAAAAAAATTAGTATAAATAAATAGTGGACCCCCAGTTAACGATATTTTTTCACTCCAGAAGTATGTTCAGGTGCCAGTACTGACCGAATTTGTTCCCATAAGAAATATTGTGAAGTAGATTAGTCCATTTCAGACCCCCAAACATACACGTACAAACGCACTTACATAAATACACTTACATAATTGGTCGCATTCGGAGGTAATCGTTATGCGGGGGTCCACTGTACTGACTATTTTGGTGACTTTAACTACACAGTAGGCTAAATATGTAAAATCTTATATATCATAAACCCAATTGTTTATATGGTAGAATTACCTTACTTCTGAGGATAACAGATAACAAAACTAAGTGAAAGGGATAGGTTAAGATGATTGGTAATCATTTGTGCATTGTTTATAACTGTTTAGTAATCACTGCATTGTGTGCGTGTGTGTGTCTGCCGGTCTGTCTGTCTGTACAGTATTTCTGTCTGTGTCTGTACACCTACCATCTGACTTTCGACCTGCTCGACATACGACCATTCGACTTACGACCTTGTTTTCTATGCCAAGTTTCTGGGAAATAAAAACTGTTTGTGGTGTACAGTGTTTATCCTAAACCTTACAGTATAAAATACAGTACTAACAGCATAAAAAATTAAAGTAAAAATGAAATAAAATAAAACAATAAAATAAAGTCATTACAAAAATGTGATGTTGATATTCAGTAGTAAGGTTCGACTTACGTCCATTTTGACTTACGACCAGTTTCTCGGAACTGAACTCAGTCGTCAGTCGGATGGTACCTGTATTTCTGTCTGTCTGTATGTCTGTATTTCTGTCTGTATTTCTGTCTGTCTGTCTGTCTGCGGACAGCAGTCTGGGTATATAGGAGCTGTCTGGGTGTATAGGAGCAGTCTGGCTATATAGAAAAGAGGGAGATTATTTTCTAGTAATAGTGGGCTTTAGGTAGAGATGTTTAATGTCACCATGGTTGTTTAACATATTTATAGATGGGGTTGTAAAAGAAATGAGTCCCAGGGTGTTGGGAAGAGGTGTGGGATTAAAAAATTGTGAATCTTTTATGGAGTGGGACTTGTCGCAGTTGCTTTCTTGCTGGTGACATGGTTCTTTTTGAAGATTCTGTAGAGAAGTTGCAATGGTTGGTAAATGAATTTGGGAGGGTATCTAAAAGAAGGAAAGTGTGGTGTGAACATTATGTAGATAGTTTGGAAATTAGGAGGTAGTGTGGAGTTACCAAAAATATTATTCCAAAAATCTAAAGAAGGGGGTTGTTTAGGCAGTTTGGACATGAGAGGATGGAGAAGAATAGGATGACCAGGAGGGCATACAAATCTGGGGTAAAGGAAAGGAGGGGTAGTTGCCATCCTAGGAAAGGTTGGAGGGAGGTAGTAAAAGAGGTTTAGAGTGCTAGGGGCTTGGACATCCAACAGGCTCGAATAAGCATGTTAGACAGGAGCAAGTAGAGGCAAGTAATTTTTTTTTATTTGATATGCTGTTGGAGTGTGAGCAAATTTAACATTTATGAAAAGTTCCAGGGAAACCTGTTAGCTGGATTTGAGTCCTAGGTGGGAAATATAGTGCCTGCACTCTGAAAGAGGGGTGGGGATGTTACAGTTTGGAAGGTCATTTGACCTATAATGTCAGTGGGCTTCTTGCAAGACAGTGATTGAATGAATGACAATGAAAGTGCCTTCTTCTTTGTTGGGTCACCCCTCTCTGTTTTTCATTCAATCACTGTCTTGCCAGAAGCACACTGGCCTCACAGTTCGGAAAGCTCTCTGAACTGAAACATTCTCACCCCCTCTTTAGAGTGTTAGCACTGTACTTCCTATCTTTATCTAACTGGTTTCCCCAGAATCCTTTCATGTGTGTTACCTTGCTCACACTCCAACAGCATGTTAGATCACAATAGCGACCTGAAAGTTGCGTAAAAGTTGTTTAGTCTAAAGTTAAACACTAGCATGGTTGCATGCCACTGGCAGTTCCTTCACAGGTGAATAACACAGCTATCAGTTTTGGACTTCATTGTGGGTTGTATACAAATTATGTTATGTATATATATACAGTGGTCTCTTGAATTACAGTGGGCTGGCATTGCATTTTAGTTAAGGTTTGCCCTCAAAAAATTTGTTTTGACAGGGTAATGACAAGATCATAAATGGTGTGATGGAGGTGAATGGGAGGGTGGTGGTGGGATGGAGGGAGGGAGAACATGTGTGTAATAGACCTAGTAAGTGGAAGGTGGGAGACAGTGAAAATGAGAATGTTAATAAAGTTGTTGACAGTTCTTTACGAACCTGCCTGCATGCCTCCTCTTTCTGTCTGCCTACCTGCTCTTCCTTCCTTCTCTTCCTGCCTGCTCTTCCTGCCTTCTCTTTCTGCCTGCCTTCCTCCCTGTTCTTCCATGCCCTTCCTACCCTCTCTTGCCAGGTCTGCTGTGGTCTGTTTGTTTGCCTGTCTTGAATGGAAAGATGAAGGATGTTGGGAGTGGCAGGAAAGAGTTGGTGGGTTAGGGTGAGGGAGGGTAGGACTCAGGGAGGGAGACCATACTCGGACCAGACGTGGACTGGGAGACAACAAGAGTATAATTATTATGTCTACAATTTTTTTTATCAATCTGCCTATCTGTCTCTGCCTACCATCCAGTACCTTTGGACATTTCAAGCTGCACCCTGTACTTTTTTATCATCCAGAAAAACCCAGAGTGTTTAAACAACAAAAAGAATCCAAAGGAAGGTTGGGTGTGTTTTGGTGTCTTAGAATGAATTACCACAAAACCACTGTGCCCCATGGCCTGGTGGCAAAAGCTCTCGCTTCACACAGTGAGAGTCCGGATTTGATTCCCAGCGAAGGGGTGGAAACATTGGGCATGTTTCCTTACACCAGTTGTTCATGTTCACTCATCAGTAATAATGGGTACCTGGGTGTTAGTCGACTGGTGTGGGTCACATCCTAGGACAAAACTGACCTAATTTGCGAAGAATGCTCTGCATAACAAGTGGCTTTCTATGTAGTAGTATGTCATTGATGTCAGCTAGGCCTGTATACCTTGTACATGTACTTGTAGGAATAAAGATATGTATTTTGGGGTTTGAGTTATGATAGTTTGGAGATAAAATAAGATAGGAGATAAGATACGTTTTCTGGAATGGATTAATAGTGTAACTCAAGGGACCACTGTACTCTTATTTCATTCAAAAGTAAATGAAATATGACTTTATAGTATTAAACACATTATCTTTGTGGGCAGTATACAAAAGTATTTAAATACATAATGCATGTTTGGGTGGCTGACCTTGGTTATGGTTCTGTAAGAGGGTAGATCTGTCACTACTCTCTTGCAAGAAAATGAAAAACATGATTAAAAATGTGCCAGAAGATCACTGTGGTATTAGTTGTAGTAGTAATAATAATAATAATGTGAAATTCTATTCTTGAGTGTCTTTTCTTCGAGAACAGTGACTTAAGGTCTTGTGCACATTCCTTGAAAGCCCAGGGTCATAATGTTATGTTTTTTGTCAGTGTGTTTTTGTGTTAAATATGCAATAATGATTTTTTTAATATAATATTTTTCCGAAGTTTGTCCTGGTACATGTCCTTATCTACACTGTATGTTCTCATGACAGACCTGAATGTGCAGCTGATATTCGCTATACGGAATCATCCATGCGTAATGGATATGGCTTGAAGTTTTTGCACAAATTTTTCAACTTGCCATTCCTGCAACTGCAGAGAGTAACACTCTTGAGGCAGTTAGAAACCAATATGGCTGAGATTGATGCCACAATTCAAGAACTCGATCTCTATCAGGAGAGTGATGATGCCAATTATGACATGTATGGATTTACTGTCTTGATATTCTATTCATTTTACTTAGCTGTTATGATTATTACTTTTGTTGCATATTTTAGTGTATATTTTTCGTTAATTTTAAAATTATACAGACATATCTAAGTGCAGTTGTAAATAATTTCCTTTTAAGAATTATTTATTTTATGAAACATTCACTTGTACAGTCAAACAATACTCAAGTGTGAGCTTCTGAAGAAGTTTTAGAATTCCTTTTCTGGTAAATTATTGTGTTAGTACAGTTTTGGTATTAAGGTGCCCGTACTTTTGCCAGTTCTTGTTTTATGTGTGGACAAACTTTCAGAATAATATGCATGAACAAATTAATGTTTATCTGGCTTTGAAATTGTTTTTTCTTAGTAGAATTTCCTCTTACTACCAGTTACTACACATTAATTTAATTTTATTTATTCTTGAAGACAAACTCTCTCATTTTGATAATGGTGAGGTGAATATTTTCTTTCTCAGGAGAAATGTGATAATTTTTTCTGATGTGGGTCTTAGTCATATGATGACCCATTCAGAGGAGCTTTAGTTAAACATTTGATTGATCACTTCTGCTGGCTTACCAGTCCACCCAGTAAAACATTAAATAACATATCTTAAGATATGCTTGATAATTATTCTAAATGTTTTTTTCTGGTATATTGGCTTTTAAATGCTTTAGCACTTCTTATAATTACATAAATTATTATATATTTTATATTGTATTTTTTATTAGACACTCCAATTTCATTATTATGAGGTTGAACAATTGTACAAAAGCTCTTCAGAACCATTATAAAAATAGTAAGACCATTGTATACTAAATATTTTGTAATAAGTAAATTAGCACCTAACCAGAACAACTTGATGAGATAATGTGCACTGCAGTGCTTTCCTCTTGTGTAATATATATCCAACATTCATCTTCACTAAATGTTTAATTTATACAGTAGAACTTAAATCTGAAATGGTCAGTACTAGGGGCTATCTAGCTAATGTAAATTTTTGGTTAATGAAAGTTGCTATCATTGCCTGTCCTACTGACTATGACTTCTTGCATCACCGTCATTTCTTGATGGTGTCTTCATTTTCCTTTGACTGGACAAAATTGAAATTGGTATAATAGTAATTAATTTTGTGTGATATATTCATAATTTTGCAGTTTCTTGAGTCAGCTGACTGATCGTAGAAGAGCAACAGCAGAATCGCTGGGTCCAGTGGCTCAGGTTGCTGTCGCAACCAACACAACCCCTATACCTCAGTCACATTCTGTTAATAATGTTGCATCTTCTGCAAATCCCAACACTTGTGTCAATGGTGAGTTGCATCACTTATCATATTGAAGTTCAATGTTTTTATGAATTCATTCATTCAAGAATTGTATTTGAATTTATTTTGAATAATTTTTGTGTATTTACTCAGGTGTATCAAAATCAGTATCTGTGCCTGTGAGTCTGTCCTCTGCAACATCAAGTGCACACACAAGCCCCCGCCCAGCTGAGCGTCCTTCATCTAATACATCAGCTACTAATATGCAAGCTTCTGAAAGCACTTGTGTTGCGAGTCCAGTAGGAGCTGGAACGTAAGTAGTATTGTAAAATAAGTGGAATTCAAAATATACAGTAGACTGTTGATTAACATGTGTTCCCTTACCACATTTTCTCCATTACATTAATTTGATTAACACAGTGTCACTTCTGAGGGAAAAATTTGGAATAACCTGAGCCGTCTAGTGGGCTCGTGGGCAGCCTAACTGTGGGTCAGTCCATTGTCTTTGTGGGAGAGACTAGCTTCCTCCCCTGTCATAAAGTACATGTTTTGTAGTGCAACTAATACTACAGTAGACCGTCAATTAACACAACAGTTACATTCCTGAAAAGTTGGTGCAAGACGAAACTGTATTAAACGAACTGAAGAACTTATGGGGAGAATAGGGTTACATTCCTTGGAACCTCAAAAATGACAAACTTTTTTGGGGGGTCTCCAAATCATAAAAAAATAAAAATGATAATGTAATTGTAGTTCATTGTCGTGATGTATTATGTTTAATTCATTGCTAAAATACTGAGAACAAGAGGCTAGTAACCCCTTCTCCTGTATATATTACTAAAATTAAAAAGAGAAACTTTCGTCTTTCTTTTTGGGCCACCCTGCTTTGGTGGGATATGGCCAGTTTGTTGAAAGAAAGAAAGAACAATAGTTTCTGTTTTGTTTGTATCCTACTGTGTGTTCTTTATTGTTGCGATCTCAATTATTTATTACTCTTCCTCTTTGTCTCTGTTCTTGATGTATTTTTTGTTACGTGAATATGTGTGGCGGATACAGCTTGGATGATTTGTTTTGTTATCCTAAGTAAGAATGACACATTAAACAGTTACACAGTTATGTAATATGCCTGGGTATATAATTTTTTTATTCCCTAGTGTGAACAGTAGCAGCAGCAACAATAGTAGTAACAGTCCATCTACTGGCACTCGAGCACCAAAAGTATCAAGTCCTGAAAAATCCCAAGACAAAACCAGCTTTATGTCTCGCATTTTCAACAAGACCAAAGAGCCAGAGCAAGCAAAGGAAGCAGCATTAGGTATGTTTTTTTTTTTTTTTTAAACCTTAAACTGTCCAAATGTAGATCTACGTTTACGTGCGTACCATTCCGACCTTGATTTTCCTCATTTGAAAGCATGTAAAAAAACGTAGACCTACATTCAGAGCGCTACACAAGCGAACGTAGATCTACGTTTGGACAGTTTAGGGGTTAAGTTGTGGTGCATAGGTGGGAAAGAATTTATAAATACAGTAGCAATGAGTTATACGAAGTTAACTTTTTTCATAGTACGTACTGGTTAAAATAATTGTATTATTAGCTTATAATTTATGTGTGCTGTTTAGAATGACATCCAAACTGTCGTATGTGCACGCCTCTTGCAAAACAGTGATATAGGGTAAGGGTAAGATAGGGTAACTAGTGACATGGTCCTCAGACAAATAGGGAAATTAAAACCAAACAAATCCCCAGGCCCTGATAAACTGTTTACCAGGGTTTTAAAGGAATGTAAAGAGGAGCTTAGCAAACCTTTGGCTAATCTTTTCAACATATCACTACAAACTGGCATAGTGCCAGGCAAGTGGAAAATGGCAACTGTAATACCTATTTACAAAGCAGGAGGCAGGTCCTTAGCTTCTAGCTATAGACCAAAAAGTCTTACCTCCATAGTGGAAAATTTTATGGAATCAATAATTGCCGAGGCAATTTGTAGCCACCTTGAAAGGCATAAATTGATTAATGAATCTTAGTTTGGTTTTACAAAGAGGCATTCCTGCCATACGAATTTACTAACTTTTTTCACCAGAATATTTGAGGAGGTAGATCATGGTAATGAATATGATATTGTGTATACGGACTTCAGTAAGGCTTTTGATAGAGTTCCACATCAGAGGCTGTTGAGGAAAATTAAGGCACATGCAATAGGAGGAGAAATTTTCTTCTGGGTAGAGGCGTGGTTGAGAGATAGGCAGCAGAGAGTTTGCGTCAATGGGGAGAAATCAGAGTGGGGGTGCATCACAAGTGGTGTTCCACAGGGGTCATTGTTGGGCCCTTTGTTGTTCACAATTTATATAATTGACATTAATGAGGATAAATTTTGACATAAGTAAGTTTGCTGATGACACCAAAATAGGTTGCCTAATTCATTCTAATGAGGACATTAGAGCACTCCAGGAAGATTTCAGTAGACTGATGCAGTGGTCGGAGAAGTGGCAGATGCAGTTTAATATAGACAGATGCAAAGTTCTAAACATTGGACAAGAAAATAACCATGCCACATATAAACAAAATAATGTAGATCTCAATATTACTGATTGCAAAAAAGATTTGGGAGTTTTGGTTAGCAGTAATCTGAAATCAAGACAGCAGTGCATAAGTGTTTGCAATAAAGTGTACAGAATCCTTGGCTTAATATTAAGGAGCATAAATAATAGGAGTCCTCGGGTTCTTCAACTTTATATATCTTTGGTTAAGCCTCATTTAGATTATGCTGCACAATTCTGGTCACCGTATTACAGAATGGATATAAATGCACTGGAAAACGTACAAAGGAGGATGATAAAGTTGATCCCGTGTATCAGAAATCTTCCCTATGAGGATAGACTTGGGATCCTGAATCTGCACTCTCTAGAAAGGTGTAGAATTAGGGGTGATATGATTGAGGTGTATAAATGGAAATCACGAATAAATAAAGGGAATATAAATAGCATGCTAAAAATATCTAGCCAAGACAGGACTCGCACTAATGATTTTAAGTTGGAAAAATTCAGACTCAGGAAGGATATAGGAAAGCACTGGTTTGGTAGTAGAGTTGTGGATGAGTGGAACAAACTCCCAGATACCATCATAGAAGCTAAGAGATTGTGTAGTTTTAAAAATAGGTTAGATAATATGCGAGTGGGTGTGAGTTGGACCTGACAAGCTTGTGCAATAGGTCTGATGCTGTGCCCCTTCCTTAAGTGGATTTGATCTGACCTGACTAGATGGGTCATTGGTTTAAGCCAGGTGACTTGGACCTGCCTCACATAGGCCAGTAGGCCTGCTGCAGTGTTCCTTCTTTCTTATATCTTATGGTGAAAATGTTTCTTTTTCGTGTCACCCTGCCTTCCTGGGAGATGGCCAGCATGTTGAAAAAAAATTATAGTTTACTTTTTTATCTCTAGACAACTAGTCAATTAAGTTGGGATGATGGCATCAAAGCAAGAAGTGATGCAAACTCCATATAGAAACATGAAACACATTAGGAGGGCAGTATATTGTAACCTCCAACTGAGATCATCTTCAGTAGATTACTGCTGAGTAAGGGTTTTAATTGGAGGCTGAAATATATAGCTCTGTTCTTTTGTTTAACCTCCATTTGGGTTTTTGATCATCTTTACTAATTATTAAATGACACTGGGTATCAGTTATAGTTGACAGAATAGCTGGAATCTCAGATTTTGTTGAGCTTGTCCCCTGGAAAGGGACAGCAGTTATTAAATTACAAGTGGCCCTGACATGTAACCACCTAACTTACCTCCTCCTTTCTCCACATTTACAAGCATTTTTCTTTCCTGTCAAGATTGATCATAAAAAAATAGTATATATTATCAGTTCAAATTCCCAGGACAATAACTTACATTTATAACATTGTGCATTTCATAAGTAACTGTTCATCTTACAATGACATGACTGGTAACTACTCTTCCAGAACTAATATGCTGTAAGTGTGGGGGGTTACCTGTAAATGATACTGCATTTGTTGCACCAAAGTCCATCCAGAATCAGTACTGTACTAATACAATATATTCTTTTAATTTTCTTTACCATCAGATGATATAGCACCATCAGATCCTGTATCACTAGATGATTTTGTACCGGATGGTGGACGGTTAGACCAGTCATTCCTCAATGACATTATTTCAGTGCAAAGAAAGGAGGTAACGCCACCACCACCACCGCTACTGGAGGATGACAGGTACAGTAATTTTTTTTTTAAACTATATCAACTATTTTCCACCTAGGTACTAGATTTGATTTTGCCACTGAAGTGATTAGTTTATGGTGCATCCCATGTCCATCCTGTTGGCAGTAGTGCAAGAGTATATGGATACACAGAAGACCTTGGAACTAGTTCCCAAAAGGGTTAATAAGAATACATCAGTGTTTACATCCACCTAGGTAGAGTAACCCAAAGATGGAAACACAACGTTTCCTTTGTTACCTGTCTTGCCAGGAGTTTGTAGAAATCACAGTTCAAATGACTTGCCAAACTGCAGCATTCCCACCCATCCTGCTGAGTCTGCATCAAGTCTAGCTAACTAGTTTCTCTGAACTCCTTAATAAATGTAACCTTTCTGTTTAGAAAGTAAGTACTATATTGGATTAATTAAGACCTGAGTGAGGTATAGTATCATTCAATTATTTAATTGGACTAAAAACAGAAGAAAATAGTGATTAAGTTTAACCTTAAAAGACAGTACTTATTTGAGTGCTGGGTATGTTAATGCTTAGCAGTCTTTGTTTCTTCATATCTCTGATTTTTTTTGGGCCATTCTTCTTTTCCTAACTTGATTACTGGTGATTTTTTGTGAAATTTTGATTTTCAAATATTCATATTCTTCTCTATCCAGCAATACAGGAGGGCCCCACTTTACAGCTCATTTATGGCGTTTTGCTAATACAGCGATTGTCAATTATAGCCATTCTTCATTTACTCAGACTTCTACAATAAATATCTTCGCCACTCAATATAAGCTAAGGATAAAAATATTTTAAAGTAATGTGTGTACTGTATATGCATTTTTTAGGTTCAGCTCTATTGCTGACAATATATAATAGTGTTAACTTATCGGGCTTTTATGTGCATTTGAAAGCGATAAAAGGCTATTTCACTGTATAACGATTTTCACTTTACAGCAGTAGAGTGGAATCTAACCTGCTGTGTACGTGGGACCCTCCTGTATCTTATTTTCTTATAAAATTCTCTATGTATTTCATGCTTATGCTGATTTACTTTATTCCTTTTTATCCATTTCAGTTTGAAGTCTTTTATTTCTTAGTATACCTAAAAATAAAGATTGCTTTTAACTGTCAACAATTTCCAACAATGGTTTTTGGTCACTAGCTATGTCCTTTCTTTATCTCTTGTGTTTAAAATTTTCAATATTTATCATTTCATTTACTTTTATTTTTTATTTCTGCATTTTGTTTTGTTGTATTCTGATTATTCTTCTTGGATTATTTCAAATATCTTCCAGTTTGTTTATAATATTTAATAACTCTTGTTATCTTTAATAGGTTTACTTACGTTTTATATTTCGGTCTTGTCAGATTTAGTTCAATATTTGTTATTCATGTATATTGAGCCTTAATGTTGTTGAAACCGAAGATTTTTTACTCAGGTTTATATGGTTTATTTATATGATCTCCATAATTGTTTTTTGCACAACTTTAGTAAGACTAGTTTAGGTTTGTGCATAAGTTTTAAAAGAAACTGTATTGAAGAATAATCATATAATGTACAAATGTATGTACACACACGATTGCACTGGAAAGAACTAACTTGATACAGTGAGTGATATGATAGGTGGATATATATAGTAACTTGGAAAGAAGCACATTAATTTGCAAATGTCAGGTAGATATCACAGGATGAGAAAATGTAGCCAGAAATGGAATGAAATATTTCTCCATTTAATCTGGTTATAGAAGATTCTGCATGACATACTGTAATACAGTTTTTGGAGAGAGAACATTAAATATCAATAGAAGACTTATTTGTTTTTTTTTTATTTATTCCAGTGAAGAAGAATGTGATGGAAATCCAATGGTGTCAGGGTTTCAGGTTGACCTGGACCCAGATGACCTTCAGCTTGGGTTAAATGTGAAAATTGTTTCTGATGAAATGGAAGAACCTGAGGTTGAGAAAGTGAAAATTAATACCAAAGTGTCATTGGTTAAGTGTGATACTTCAGAATTAGGTTTTGATAATCTGTATAGTAGTGATGGTGTGAGAACTAGTAAAAAGGATGTGAAAATTAAAAGCAAAAGGAATTTGACTGATAGTGAAAAGCGAGAATCACAGGAAGTTTTAGTAGGTGTGTCAAATCTGAGTATTGAAGACATGGACTCCTTCAGTTTGCAACCAGATAAAGAAACAAATGCCATCCTGGGGTTTAGAAACTATGAGAAAGAAGGCAAGGAGGAAAAGGAGAAAATCGATAAACTCGATGATTGGCTTAACTCTGAAGAGGGAACCATTGTAAATCCTTATGTTTCTACTATCAGTGTAATGCCTGACATGCCTGGTCTACAGGGTTCAGATGCTGAGGATGGTAAGTTTCAAAACTAAAATGAAAAGATTACCAGTTGACAGATGCATTTGGTAAGTGTTTATCCAATGTAAAGGTGTACAGTCAGCCCTCCACTTTCATGAGTTCCACTTTCGCGAGCTTCGAACATTCGCAAGTGCTCAGTTCATTGTTTGTTATTAAACCATAACATGTAGTAGGTTGGTAGACAGCAACCACCCAGGGAAGTACTACCATCCTGCCAGATGACTGTGAAACAGAAACCTGTAACTGTTTTGCATGATGGTAGGATTGCTGGTTTCTTTTTCTGTCTCATAAACACGCTAGATAACAGGGATATCTTGCTACTCCTACTTACACTTTGGTCACACTTCACAGACACGCACATGCATATATATATACATACATCTAGGTTTTTCTCCTTTTTCTAAATAGCTCTTGTTCCTCTTTATTTCTTCTATTGTCCATGGGGAAGTGGAAAAGAATCTTTCCTCCGTAAGCCATGCGTGTCGTATGAGGCGACTAAAATGCCGGGAGCAATGGGTTAGTAACCCCTTCTCCTGTAGACATTTACTAAAAAAGAGAAGAAGAAAAACTTCATAAAACTGGGATGCTTAAATGTGCGTGGATGTAGTGCGGATGACAAGAAACAGATGATTGCTGATGTTATGAATGAAAAGAAGTTGGATGTCCTGGCCCTAAGCGAAACAAAGCTGAAGGGGGTAGGGGAGTTTCAGTGGGGGGAAATAAATGGGATTAAATCTGGAGTATCTGAGAGAGTTAGAGCAAAGGAAGGGGTAGCAGTAATGTTGAATGATCAGTTATGGAAGGAGAAAAGAGAATATGAATGTGTAAATTCAAGAATTATGTGGGTTAAAGTAAAGGTTGGATGTGAGAAGTGGGTCATAATAAGCGTGTATGCACCTGGAGAAGAGAGGAATGCAGAGGAGAGAGAGAGATTTTGGGAGATGTTAAGTGAATGTATAGGAGCCTTTGAACCAAGTGAGAGAGTAATTGTGGTAGGGGACCTAAATGCTAAAGTAGGAGAAACTTTTAGAGAGGGTGTGGTAGGTAAGTTTGGGGTGCCAGGTGTAAATGATAATGGGAGCCCTTTGATTGAACTTTGTATAGAAAGGGGTTTAGTTATAGGTAATACATATTTTAAGAAAAAGAGGATAAATAAGTATACAAGATATGATGTAAGGCGAAATGACAGTAGTTTGTTGGATTATGTATTGGTAGATAAAAGACTGTTGAGTAGACTTCAGGATGTACATGTTTATAGAGGGGCCACAGATATATCAGATCACTTTCTAGTTGTAGCTACACTGAGAGCAAAAGGTAGATGGGATACAAGGAGAATAGAAGCATCAGGGAAGAGAGAGGTGAAGGTTTATAAACTAAAAGAGGAGGCAGTTAGGGTAAGATATAAACAGCTATTGGAGGATAGATGGGCTAATGAGAGCATAGGCAATGGGGTCGAAGAGGTATGGGGTAGGTTTAAAAATGTAGTGTTAGAGTGTTCAGCAGAAGTTTGTGGTTACAGGAAAGTGGGTGCGGGAGGGAAGAGGAGCGATTGGTGGAATGATGATGTGAAGAGAGTAGTAAGGGAGAAAAAGTTAGCATATGAGAAGTTTTTACAAAGTAGAAGTGATGCAAGGAGGGAAGAGTAGATGGAGAAAAAGAGAGAGGTTAAGAGAGTGGTGAAGCAATGTAAAAAGAGAGCAAATGAGAGAGTGGGTGAGATGTTATCAACAAATTTTGTTGAAAATAAGAAAAAGTTTTGGAGTGAGATTAATAAGTTAAGAAAGCCTAGAGAACAAATGGATTTGTCAGTTAAAAATAGGAGAGGAGAGTTATTAAATGGAGAGTTAGAGGTATTGGGAAGATGGAGGGAATATTTTGAGGAATTGTTAAATGTTGATGAAGATAGGGAAGCTGTGATTTCATGTATAGGGCAAGGAGGAACAACATCTTGTAGGAGTGAGGAAGAGCCAGTTGTGAGTGGGGGGGAAGTTCGTGAGGCAGTAGGTAAAATGAAAGGGGGTAAGGCAGCCGGGATTGATGAGATAAAGATAGAAATGTTAAAAGCAGGTGGGGATATAGTTTTGGAGTGGTTGGTGCAATTATTTAATAAATGTATGGAAGAGGGTAAGGTACCTAGGGATTGGCAGAGAGCATACATAGTTCCTTTGTATAAAGGCAAAGGGGATAAAAGAGAGTGCAAAAGTTATAGGGGGATAAGTCTGTTGAGTATACCTGGCAAAGTGTATGGTAGAGTTATTATTGAAAGAATTAAGAGTAAGACGGAGAATAGGATAGCAGATGAACAAGGAGGCTTTAGGAAAGGTAGGGGGTGTGTGGACCAGGTGTTTACAGTGAAACATATAAGTGAACAGTATTTAGATAAGGCTAAAGAGGTCTTTGTGGCATTTATGGATTTGGAAAAGGCGTATGACAGGGTGGATAGGGGGGCAATGTGGCAGATGTTGCAGGTGTATGGTGTAGGAGGTAGGTTACTGAAAGCAGTGAAGAGTTTTTACGAGGATAGTGAGGCTCAAGTTAGAGTATGTAGGAAAGAGGGAAATTATTTCCCAGTAAAAGTAGGCCTTAGACAAGGATGTGTGATGTCACCGTGGTTGTTTAATATATTTATAGATGGGGTTGCAAGAGAAGTAAATGCGAGGGTCTTGGCAAGAGGCGTGGAATTAAAAGATAAAGAATCACACATAAAGTGGGAGTTGTCACAGTTGCTCTTTGCTGATGACACTGTGCTCTTGGGAGATTCTGAAGAGAAGTTGCAGAGATTGGTGGATGAATTTGGTAGGGTGTGCAAAAGAAGAAAATTGAAAGTGAATACAGGAAAGAGTAAGGTTATGAGGATAACAAAAAGATTGGGTGATGAAAGATTGGATATCAGATTGGAGGGAGAGAGTATGGAGGAGGTGAATGTATTCAGATATTTGGGAGTGGACGTGTCAGCGGATGGGTCTATGAAAGATGAGGTGAATCATAGAATTGATGAGGGGAAAAGGATGAGTGGTGCACTTAGGAGTCTGTGGAGACAAAGAACTTTGTCCTTGGAGGCAAAGAGGGGAATGTATGAGAGTATAGTTTTACCAACGCTCTTATATGGGTGTGAAGCATGGGTGATGAATGTTGCAGCGAGGAGAAGGCTGGAGGCAGTGGAGACGTCATGTCTGAGAGCAATGTGTGGTGTGAATATAATGCAGAGAATATGCAGTTTGGAAGTTAGGAGGAGGTGCGGGATTACCAAAACTGTTGTCCAGAGGGCTGAGGAAGGGTTGTTGAGGTGGTTCGGACATGTGGAGAGAATGGAGCGAAACAGAATAACTTCAAGAGTGTATCAGTCTGTAGTGGAAGGAAGGCGGGGTAGGGGTCGGCCTAGGAAAGGCTGGAGGGGGGGGTAAAGGAGGTTTTGTGTGCGAGGGGCTTGGACTTCCAGCAGGCATGTGTGAGCGTGTTTGATAGGAGTGAATGGAGATAAATGGTTTTTAATACTTGACGTGCTGTTGGAGTGTGAGCAAAGTAACATTTATGAAGGGGTTCAGGGAAATCGGCAGGCCGGACTTGAGTCCTGGAGATGGGAAGTACAGTGCCTGCACTCTGAAGGAGGGGTGTTAATGTTGCAGTTTAAAAACTGTAGTGTAAAGCACCCTTCTGGCAAGACAGTGATGGAGTGAATGATGGTGAAAGTTTTTCTTTTTCGGGCCACCCTGCCTTGGTGGGAATCGGCCAGTGTGATAATAATAATAAAAAAATGTATATACAATATTTTATGATGTTTTCATGTGTTTTATGATTGTTCGTGGTTCAATAGATTAAGGAAGTAGCATTGTTAGGCTAAGTAAATCCTATTATTATTTTTCCCTACAATATATTTGCTCATCCAAACAGTACAGTATTATTATATTTCCCTACATCATATTTGCGCACCAAACATTCACGAATTTTCAAGATTCACGAGGTCCTTGATCCCCTAACCCTCGCAAATGTGGAGGGCCTCCTATATATTTAATGTGCTTATATAGCTCATGTATATACATATAACTTGTTCTTTCAACAAACTGCCCATATTGCACCGAGGCAGGGTGGCCCAAAAAAGAAAAACAAAAGTTTTTCTTTTTAAAATTAGTAATATATATACAGAAGGAATTATTAGACCCTTGCTCCCAGCATTTTAGTCACCTCTTATGACACACATGGCTCACAGCAGAAGAACTCTGTTCCACTTCTCCATGGTGAATATATAGGGTGTGTAAAGGTAGAAAGTTAAAAGTGAACATAGATAAGAATAAGGTGATGAGGATATCAAGCTATTTAGATAAAGAAAAATTGGATATCACATGGGAGAGAGGGAGGATGGAAGAAGTGAATGTTTTCAGATATTTGGGAGTTGACTTGTCAGCAGATGGGTTTATGAAGGATGAGGTTAACCATAGAATTGATGAAGAAAAAAAGGCGAGTGGTGCGTTGAGGTATCTGTGAAGACAAAAATCGTTAACTATGGAGGCAAAGAAAGGAATGTATGAAAGTACAGTGGTACCAACACTTATATGGGTGTGAAGCTCGGGTTGTAAATGCTGCAGTGAGGAGGCGGCTGGAGGCAGTGGAGATGTCTTGCCTAAGGGCAGTGTGTGGTGTAAATATTATGCGGAGAATTTGGAGTGTGGAAATTAGGAGAAGGTGTGGAGTTACTATAAGTATTAGTCAAAGGGCTGAAGAGGGGCTGTTGAGGTGGTTTGGTCACTGAGAAAGAATGGCTCAAAGTAGAATGACTTGGAGAGCGTATAAACCTGTAGGGGAAGGAAGGAGGGGTAGGGGTCATCCTCAAAAAGGTTGGAGGGAGGGGTAAAGGAGGTTTTGTGGGCGAGGGGCTTGAACTTCCAGCAAGCTTATGTGAGCGTGTTAGATAGGAGTGAATGGAGACGAATGGTTTTTGGGACCTGACTATCTGTTGGAGTGTGAGCAGGGTAATATTTAGTGAAGGAATTTAGGGAAACCAGTTAGTCAGACTTGAGTTCTGGAAATGGGAAGTACAATGCCTGCACTTTAAAGGAGGGGTTTGGGATATTAACAGTTCAGAGGGACTTCTAAACTGTCATAATCCGAACGCCTCTACAACGACAGTGATTATGTATGAGTGAGGTGAAATTGTTGAATGATGAAAGTATTTTGTTTTTGGGGATTTTCCTTTTTTTTGGGTCACACTGCCTCGGTGGGAGATGGCTAACTTGTTGATTTTTTTTTTTTTTTTTTTTTAACATATCAGCCATTTCTCACCAAGGCAGGATGATCCAAAAAAGAAAGAAAAAACTTTCATCATCATTCAACACTTTCACCATCATTCATAGGTAATCACTGTCTTTGCAGAGGTGCTCAGATATGACAGTTTAGATGTCACTCCAAACAGCCAATATTCCAAACCCCTCCTTTAAAGTGCAGGCATTCTACTTCCTATCTCCGGAACTCAAATTCGGCTAACCGGTTTCCTTGAAACCCTTTACAAAATATTACCCTGCTCACACTCAAACAGCTCGTCAGGTCCCAAGAACCGTTAGTCTCCATTCACTCCTAACATGCTCACGCACACTTGCTGGAAGTCCAAGCTACTCGCGCACAAAACCTCCTTTACCCACTCCCTCCAGCCTTTCCTAGGACGACCCCTACCCTGCCTTCCTTCCACTACAGATTTATATGCTCTCCAAGTCATTCTACTTTGTTCCATTCTCTCTAAATGACAAAACCACCTCAATAACCCCTCTTCAGCCCTCTGACTAATACTTTTAGTAACTCCACACCTCCTAATTTCCACACTAAGGCTTCTCTGTATAATTTTTACACTACTATATGTGTATATAGTGCATAAAAGTGTTTCTTTCTGTAACCTAGACCCATTAACAAACATTTTTCCCCATATATGTTTAGTAGTGCTCCATAAGACGTGCATGTCATAAAATGGGACTAAAATGCCAGGAGCAAGGAGATAATAACCTCTTCTCCTGTATAAATTACTAAATGTAATGAGAAGAAAAACCTTCTGAAAGCATTTCTTCTTTTTTGGGTCACCCTGCTTCAGTGGAAGATGGCTGGTGTTAAAAAAAAAAAAAAATTTATTTTTTAAATCTATCATCAGTACCATACTGCCTTGTCAAATATAAGGAATGCATTCTGTGAGTATCTCATGAATGGTGAATTTATGAATATGGAGCATACGTTTAGTGGGCTAAAAATAAAGGGAATGCATTCTGATCCTCCATGGCCTCCATATCCAGACATGGTACTAGTCTCTATATCCAGTTGTATTATATACTGGTAAGTATGATAATTTGACACAGTGTGCAGTTTATAGCATTTTATTGAGATGTTTTATCAGTTCTCACAAGTGATAGTCCCTGGTCAATGAAATGTCCTCTAAATAAAATACCATAAACTGCATAGTGTCTTTTTAACAGTGATAGTCTCTTATTAAAATATGTAATGTAAACCAAGACTTTTATTTTAGATGGTGTTTGTCAGGATAGCTTTATTAAACTCCATCCTAAATATATTGTAGGTCAATCTTGAGGAAATATTCTCTAAAATAATGGCTTGCTCTGCATTGTGTCCTAATACTCACATGTTGGCTTGTTGCCTGTCACCATAGTGCTACTTTGTTGTTTTATCAATGTATAATCTAGCAGACATATACAGAAAGGATGCAGTGGTAGATCTGGGAGCCATTCTCTTGGATAACAGCATTAAATAGTACCATATGCAAATTGTGGTTCTAAAAGCCCAGCATTTATTGGTTTAAAAAGTCTTAAGTATTATGGGTATCATTCACAGACAAAAGTTGCGTAGATGTTTTAGATAATAAACTGATGAAACTTGCTTTGGGCTTGATACAGCTTCAAACAAGCATCTAATGGGACTTTGAGTTCTAGCTTGGGCATTTAAAATATTCATCATAAGGAAAACAAAAAATGTCCTCTAAATTTTGTCTGTCATTCCACGAATTTAGTCAGTTAAGTGTAGGAACAGGTAAAGAAAATGATGTTAATTGTTATAGGAAATCAAAGGTGTCTGTTTAAAAAGTAGAGAATATTTACTGCATATTATATGATTGGCAATAATCATGTTCCTAAAGAAAATTTGATTAGGTAACCTGTTTAGGATATAAGGCTTAAGGAGAGTAGTACCAACTGTGCTGAATAATTATTGTATATTATTAAAGGTTCCATTGCTGAAGCGAGCAGGGTAATAGAGAAGATAACGCATCAGAGCTGCAGCACTTCAAGAAGTGAAAGCCCTTCAGAACTCTCAGAACACAAAAAGAAACACAGAAAGAGAGAGAAAGAAAAGAAGGTAATAAAATATCTTCATTATTGATATGTATTTATTTTGGTATTTTTCACATTGCATAATCAAGATAAAACTTATGCATGTATGTCTATTCAGATGTGTACAGTAGGGCCCCACTTATACAGCAGGTTAGGTTCCAGGCTACTGCCAGAAAGTGGACATCACCAGAAAGCAGAACACCATTTTTTTCCACTTATAAATGCCAGATAACAAGTTTACACTAACATATTAAATTAGCAATAGAACTAGGCGATAAAAACAATAAAAAGTAAAATACAAACACACACTACACTCATTATTTACCTTAAAATATTTGTAGTCTTAATGTAGGGTGAGAGATCAGTGGTATTTATTCTAAGAAGTCAGGTGTGGGAGGTATGGTGGCCAGCCAGGCCAACCCACCCACACGTAGTGTACTAGGACATTTAACCCTTTGACTGTTTTGGGCCGTATATATATGTCTTACGAGCCAGTGCTTCGGACATACAGTGGACCCCCGCTTAACGATCACCTCCCAATGCGACCAATTATGTAAGTGTATTTATGTAAGTGCGTTTGTACGTGTATGTTTGGGGGTCTGAAATGGACTAATCTACTTCACAATATTCCTTATGGGAACAAATTCGGTCAGTACTGGCACCTGAACATACTTCTGGAATGAAAAAATATCGTTAAATGGGGGTCCACTGTATATGTACTCAATGATTCTAGCGGCTTCAAATCAAGCAGGAGAAAGCTGGTAGGCCCACATGTGAGAGAATGGGTCTGTGTGGTCAGTCTGCACTGTATAAAAAAAAATCCTGCAGCAGGCAGTGCATAATGAGAAAAAAAATGACCGTGTTTTTTGGATTAAAACACCGACTTTGAGGTGTATTTTCGTATGGTATTTATGGTTGTATTCTCGTTTTCTTGGTCTCATTTGATAGAATAAAAAACATATTACAGAAATAGAAATGATTTTGATTAGTGTCACGATGAAAGCGACCTTGAAATTGAGCTCAAAGTAGCGGAAATGTTCAATTTTTACCTATGTTCAGGAGTAAGCAAATCACACTACACATCTAGTACACATCAACTGGAGAGTCTAATATTCTTTCACTAGTGCGTTTTCAACTTTCGCGGGCTTCACACATTCGCGAATTCCCAACCACCAAATTCCCAGCTGCCAAATCATATTTAAGTTTACTGCCACGAGTCTTTACTACCCTCCCTCCGACCCCTGCAACTGGCAGCCAGCCCTCCCACCACTGTGTGGTGAGTGTTTTGTTTGTTCATTATTTGCTATTAAACTACAGTATAAATAATGTAAACCCATCCATGACTGCATATTAGAATGGCTATTCAGGACAGGTATTGGAAGGTGACATCATGTGTTTACTCTTGAACACAGCAAAGAATCAAACATTTCTGCTACTGCTAATAATAATAATAACAATAATATTAATATAATAATAATAATAATATTAATATAATAATAATAATAATATTAATATAATAATAATAATAATAATAATAATAATAATAATAGGTAATAATTGTAGGTAGTAGGTTGGTAGACAGCAACCACCCAGGGAGGTACTACCATCCTGCCAAGTGAGTGTAAAACGAAAGCCTGTAATTGTTTTACATGATGGTAGGATTGCTGGTGTCTTTTGTCTGTCTCATAAATATGCAAGATTACAGGCATGTCTTGCTACTTCTACTTACACTTAGGTCACAGTACACATACATGTACTCGTTTATTTATACACACTCATCTGAGTTTTCTTTGATTTTATCTTAATAAGACTCAAGAAATCGTAATGACACGATTGCAAACAAACCATACCCCCGGCCGGGATTGACCCCGCGGTCATAGTCTCAAAACTCCAGCCCGTCGCGTTAGCCACTAGACCAGCTAGCCACAATAAGATTCATCCAACTAGTTATATTTCTACACCATAGGAAGGTTAGCTAACGCGACGGGCTGGAGTTTTGAGAGACTATGACCGCGGGTTCAATCCCGGCCGGGGGTATGGTCGGTTTATCTTAATAGTTCTTGGTCTTATTGTTTTTCCTTTTATATCCATGGGGAAGTGGAATAAGAATCTTTCCTCCGTAAGCCATGCGTGTTATAAAAGTCAACTAAAATGCCGGGAACAATGGGCTAGTAACCCCTTTTCCTGTAAAGATTACTAAAAAGAATAAGAAGAAAATTGTCAAAGTGGGAAGTCTGAATGTGCGTGGATGTTGTGCAAATGATAAGAAAGAGATGATTGTGGATGTTATGAATGAGAAGAAACTGGATGTCCTGGCTTTAAGTGAAACAAAGCTGAAGGGGGTGGGAGAGTTTCAATGGAGAGGAATAAATGGGATTAGGTCAGGGGTTTCAAATAGAGTTAGAGCTAAAGAAGGAGTAGCAATAATGTTGAAGGATAAGCTATGGCAGGAAAAGAGGGACTACAAATGTATAAATTCAAGGATTATGTGGAGTAAAATAAAGATTGGATGTGAAAAGTGGGTTATAGTAAGCGTGTATGCACCTAGAGAAGAGAGAAGTGTAGAGGAGAGAGAGAGATTCTGGGAAATGTTGAGTGAATGCGTGGGGAGTTTTGAATCAAGTGTGAGAGTAATGGTGGTTGGGGATTTCAATGCTAAAGTGGGTAAAAATGTTATGGAGGGTAGTAGTAGGTAAATTTGGGGTGCCAGGGGTAAATGTAAATGGGGAGCCTTTAATTGAGCTATGTGTAGAAAGAAATTTGGTAATAAGTAATACATATTTTATGAAAAAGAGGATAAATAAATATACAAGGTATGATGTAGCACGTAATGAAAGTAGTTTGTTAGATTATGTATTGGTGGATAAAAGGTTGATGGGTAGGCTCCAGGATGTACATGTTTATAGAGGGGCAACTGATATATCGCATCATTATTTAGTTGTAGCTACAGTTAAAAGTAAGAGGTAGATGGGAAAAGAGGAAGGTGGCAACAACAAGTTAAGAGGGAGGTGAAAGTGTATAAACTAAGGGAGGAGGAAGTTCGGGCGAGATATAAGCGACTATTGGCAGAAAGGTGGGCTAGTGCAAAGATGAGTAGTGGGGGGTTGAAGAGGGTTGGAATAGTTTTAAAAATGCAATATTAGAATGTGGGGCAGAAGTTTGTGGTTATAGGAGGGTGGGGGCAGGAGGAAAAGAGTGATTGGTGGAATGATGAAGTAAAGGGTGTGATAAAAGAGAAAAAGGTAGCTTATGAGAGGTTTTTACAAAGCAGAAGTGTTATAAGAAGAGCAGAGTATAGGAGAGTAAAAGAAAGGGGAGAGAGTGCAAAG